TCCATGAAATAAACCATCCACCCCCATTGTAGGAAACCTTCAAATATGATCAATCAAATTGAAGATGAACAGAGCATTGGGCTGTTGATTCCCAGTTTTGCATGGGATATATATATATATACGGGTAAATTATGATATTTCACTAACCTGAATGATTTCCCTTATTGACCATGATTCCAGGGTTCGAGGGAACAGTGAGGTCGTTAAAATTTACTCAGATATATATGTAACATACATACGTATGTATGGATGTTTCCGGACATGGTGGTACCCCTAAATCATCCATTTTAAGAGGATTTTCCATGAAATAAGCTACCAGCTATTGAGGATCCCCCATTTTGAAACGCCCCCATTTTTTCGAGATCTGACCCGTGGATCCCAGTTGACATGTTCTGGGCCTTCCAGCTGAAGCAGCTTCGATTTCAACTCTCGGCCGCCCAGACGCAATTCGATGCTGGCCTGGCGAAGGGATGGATTCCCACCCATTTTCGAAGAAATTTGAGCGTGATCCCGCCTGCTGGGGGTAAAAGTCGCTGTATTTCACATGTTTTCCATCCTGGAGAAAAAAAAAAGCGGAGAAGAGGCTCGACATTGGGACCAAACATGACCAAACCATGTTCAAAATGTCAAATCCTGCAACATCATCCAGCATCATCCAGCATCATCCAGCACCTCTTCTTACTTAGGCCATCCGGATAGGCTGGAAATCACTTCAAGGCCCTGTCGACACTGTCCTTCAAGGTGAATGGAAGCAGGGCTTTCCCCAAACTCGCCACCGATGCGCCAAACACGCGCGAGATCTCTTCCCAGAAGCTCTTTGAGACGACGTTAATGCGAATGGTTCCGATGTCCTTTCAAGGGGAAATACCCTCTGGTAAACTAACAGTTTGCTATTGAAAATGGTGATTTATAGTGGATTTACCCAGCTAGAAAATGGTGGATCTTTCCATAGTTTTTTGTAAACGTTTACCAGAGGGTACCCAGGTTTTCTCCAGGTTTTCTCCAGGTTTCTCCAAGAGCCCCAGCAATGTGTCAATCACAGGCGTTTTTTGTTCCTAGTTCTTTTGTCTCGGAAAATGCTATGTGGGGTTGCCACCCATGTGACTAGTCTGGTGATGGCAACTGTCCTGCAAATCTTGCCAAGGTCCATGTTTCGCATTCCCATTGATTCCCATGTCGCTTCAAAAGTCGTTTCACGTTTCTTTCAGGATTGGCTTGGACACGTTGGCACTATCAACATCTATCAACCATGATTCAATGTGCCCTTGTCTGGCCCACCTGAATTGACGTCGTCACGTCGTCAATTGTTTTTGAACAAGTTGCTGAGTATACAACACCTGCTTTCTCATGACGTCTTGCTTCCTCATGAGGTTTTATCAGACTCTGGAATACACAAAGCGGAATGACATTGGAAAAATGGAAATAAGCTGCACCGCTTAATACAAACTTTATGTCCTCCCAAGATTGTCAGCATCCCAAACAGATTCCATGGTGGACATGTTTGCGCGGCTCTCATGGCTTAATCACACACAGAGCAATAAACCACCGTATCGGTCCATGGGGCATAGAGAAACAAATTATCACGTATCATGGATTTATAGTACACTGGGAATACTTTTTGGTATCTGCCGGTCCCGGTTAATGATACGCTCCAACATCTTCTCTTCTACTTTCTCACATACCTGACGCTACGCCCTTACATCTTGTTTTCCACTTTCGCACGTACTTGATGCTACACTCTTCGACAACGATGACGACGACGACGACGACGACGACAACAACAACAACAACATCTTGTGGCATCGCCGGTGTGCGGAGCTCTACAATAAACAGCTCGATTGGCAAAGTCAACAGGAAATGGCCCAGCCCCTTCAGCACAGCATGGCCATAGCGATCTTTTTCGGGGACGTTTCGGGGGAAAACAAGGTAGTGATAGGGAATGTGGCTAATGTCAACCCTGGATTAATAAACCCCGTTTACGGCTGTTTAATTGGGGGGGTACCATTTAAGTATCAGATTATGGGCTATGCCTCAAACATGACGGTCCAAATCAACGAGCTGGCGTCCTTGAGGTCTCTCGCTTCAAGCTGTAGTCCTTCAGCCTGCACCGCGAGGCGCTGGTCGCCATCCCCGCCCGAGCGCAGTGACACTCCTTGCAGGGTGAAGCGCGGATCTCCAGTTGTTCGACCTGAGACGCGGATGTAATATATGTAATGATCTCAGTCTGTGGTGTCCCCAAGAAAAATGAAGAAAAGTACTGTTTTATGGTGCTGTTTTATGTATTTTTATGTGGGATCATGATGGAACCATCATGATCCCATGGATCGTTCTCAAATGATGTGTGTAATATTTACTGCTTGCCATGCTCCATGCCAGTCGTGTTCGCCCTCGATGCTGGACCTATGACGACTGACCCTGCCATCGTTGAATCAACTTGGCCCATTTTGGTCACCTGCATAGTAACTGGACGTAACTGGTGCAAATCACCCCGGTCGGCAATTCGCGGGTCACTTCAAGAGCCTAAAAAAAGGACCGTTTTCTTCGCAATGATCGTCCCCATGTCTGGACGCCTGAAATATAGCAGTGCGGGTCTTGGATCCAAGGCACGAGCACGTTGAGAATAGATGTCCAGAAGCACCTGACCATCGTTGAGTCAGGTGAACAGAGACATACTGAGACCATGGATTATTGGGAGACATTTTGACTTCGATGGACTGACATCATTCCCGAGCTTACCTGACGGCTGATCTAGACAAGCTATGACAAGCTGGTATGGTTTGCTGATTATCATGAAACCGGTTGTCACAGACCTTGCCATTTCGTTGTACCTTGCGTGCTTCAAAATTCAAAGAGCCACAAGTTAAGGTCATCTGTCTCTTTCGGGTGAGTTCGGGTCCCCATGAAAGCCAGCCTGCTTTCCATATCTTCTTAAAGCTGTGCCTATACAAAAAATCCAAGAAAACGTCCGGTGCACTACTAAAACTCCGGCCTCCTAGAGGACTCCCAAAAAGAACCTAGACACATCTAGACACGGACTTTTCTCCCAGGCACCTTCGGCATTCGTAGCAATGTGATACACACCACCAGCAGTGCCAAGAATCCCAGCACGTCTCGCAGCAATTCCAGGAATTGCAGGATCACCGCTTTCCGTCCTCAATCCACTGCGAAACTTATATTATGTATACATGTATTATATATATATACATATATATATATATATATCATATGTATATATATACACTGGTTGCTTCTCGCATGGATCCCAGCAATGGAAAGGTGGAAAGGTTGCGCAATGGAGGTGCCCAGTGACTCGATTGACTCGCTTTGCCCAATCACAAATTGAGGATGACTGGAGGTCTGGCTGCCGCAGTATTAGTACTACCAGCAAGAAAAACAATACGCCAACCATGCGAAAAAAGCAGCCCTGAAAATGCATGAAAGGTGTAAACACAGAGGTTGATCAACGGACACTTTCCGGTGTCCGACAGGAACGCAGTGCGTGGCGTGCTACACGCCACAAAATGCCGAGGGTCGTTGGCAGTTGTCTTCAGCGCTCCAGCATTGCTGCAAAACCAGATCTGCCCGCCAGAGGCTGAAGATCACAATCCTTAAAGATTTGGATGTGTTGGTTCAATATGTAACAGAAAACGTCGCAAACACTGGCGATGTTGAAAGTTTGACCAGCAAAAAAAACAGAACAAAAACAGGTTCGTTGAGTCAAATTGAGGAAAAGAGTTTAACATCCTTACATCATGCGTTTGGATTGCTGTAAAATGCACGTGCTCGTGCCAGAATTGAGACAAAAAATGTGTTGAGATATATTGTTTAAGAAACAAACAGGGACTTGGGCACTGCAAAGGTACAGAAGCAGTGGGAGCAGTGGAAGGTCCAGCAACAGGTTCCCAAGCTCCTTCGGACATCGGGAAGGAGCCGACGCTTTTCAGTATGCTCAAACAGTCTGGTTCGCTAAAAACAAATCGACTGTTTAAAAGTGGTAGAATCCCTTCAAGAATCAGGAAACTTACCCTCTGGTGATTTGTTACATAGCTATAGAAAATCACCATTTTTCGTAGGTCTATGGACCATGGCTTCCATAGCTATGTCAACCTTTACCAGAGAGTAGATGGAAATATATGATTCAATCATGTTGCATCACACTTTCATCTAAGCCATCCGAACTGCGTTTGGGCCCAAAAAACAGCCTAGAGAAGCCACAAGCGTTTCATGAAGCGAATCCTTGACTATATGTCTCTACCACTCGTGGATTTCGACGTAAGCAACTTGAAGTACTTGGAGGATCCTTCCACTTAGTAAATGGTCCCCAATCACTGGGCTATACCATGTTATACCATGTATAAATGGTGGTTACTGTATCCCAGTTACTCAGTTGCTGGGATCCTCCAAGTATCTCCCGATCAGGTCCTGCCAGAGTTTCAACCTGGTTTGGATTCCACAGAACGCTGTCGGAGCTTCGATCCCATCGGCAGCTTCAGGATCCGACTCCGCAACTGGAGGCAGTGGCACCACTGCAACCCAGCGGTTGCGCAAGAGTTGGTACACCTGCGCGGTAGCCAAGGCCGAAGATGCGTTCGGCTCATTGATTGAAATTGGCATCAACCTCGAAAACAATCAGCTTATACTGGTGGGTGGTTTCAAGCCCTCTGAAAAATATTACACGTTATTTCACGTTATTTGGGGGGCCACGAGGCTGCCGAACGACCTCGCGACCCGCTCTTTGTTCGGGCTCAGACCGTCTTTGCGGCAGTCAGAAGGGCCACATCTTTGGCAGTGACCACTTGGCGCCGCAATTGGGCGAACACTATTGCGTCCACCTCGTCGACCTGTGGCTTTGTCCAACGCAATCGGTAGCATACCAACCACTTGGCCACCGAGGCCGAAC